CCAAACACAGTGACCATTTTTATTTCTCAGGGACACCTTCATTACAGGAGCCTATAAATCCCCTTCAAACCTGAGTAATCCACCACTCTGAAAACCCATAGCTCTCTAGGACTCTCCGTAGCTTCCCTATACTGGAATTCTCTTCTTGCCTCTGTCCCAGAGGGCTGGATCAAGTCACCCAGGGCTTGGTTGGGATCCAGTCTTCCCTTAATGGAGTTCCTGAAAAGGATTTATTAATGACACATTCCACTCATTTTATCCAACCTGTCACTGCAGGCACCACCTTGTGAAATAGTTATGGAAACTAAGAAAAGGGGAACTTTAATCTAAGAGGGGTGTTAAAGGCATAGCTTAGAAGCAAATTCATGAGGATCAAGTGCCTGGAACCTGCAAGCAATGGTTAACTCCTTCCTGGGTTTTGGCAAGGCTGAGGCTCGAAGCTAAGCTTTCAAAGTAGATGATATTACATTCCACCATGGGTTTACCATTGTGAGACAAGAGCTTAGCTGAAGTATAGTAAAGAAAACATGCTAAAGCCCCAGATATGATTACCTTTGTTTTCAACCTGAACTTCTCCAGAAGGCAATCTTGGGGGGGTGTATTTAATTTCTAAGAATCATGCCATTCGTGTGAGAGCAGTCAGCTGTAACACAGCAGCCTGGATTCACTAGTCAGGGAATGGGACCAGTGTCTCCAAAGGAATATGAAATGCCTTTGCTTAATCTTACGAATGACAAAAAGGGAATAGGCATTGAAGCAGATCTTATGCAAGCACAATAAGTCAGAGCTAGCCTTCAAGGCAATCCCTCATCATTTTGTAAAGCAAGATGAGGCACATCCATGACCCGGCCCCCGGGTCTCCTGGTGTGCCCACATTGGAACTAAGCCCTTATCAGTTTCCTGGTAAACTCTGCTGATACCTTATCTTGGCCTGAGGTTCTGCAGACCTGAATTCAAGCCCCATCTTTGCTCCTTCGATGCCTTTGGGCATGTCTCTGAATCCCCTGGCACAGTTTTCCACTGGTACCATGGATAGAATCCTCTGAACTGGTCCCATGAGCCAAATGGACCAAATAATTGCTTTCCGTTTGGACAAGTCCACATGAAAATGGATCCAATTTCTGTGGAAGGGGAAAGCAGTAAACAGAGTACTACTCTGCGTGCTCCATTTGTTAGTTGGGATCCAATACATCCCAATAAAGCCGAGGCTTCTGGGTGAACAGGAGCCGAAAGCCAGAAGACTGTACTTAAACACAAACCCCCCCGCCGCATCACCTTTCTCTCCACCGAAGACCTGTTTTCAAGCTGTGGTTCTCTTCTTAGGAAGGAGTCCCGAGAGTCACCGACACCATGTCCACCTTACATGACGTAAAGGCTGTTTTCCAAAGAACGGTGAGGGAGCACCAAACCCTTTTTCCAGAAGCTTCTGTGACGTAAGAGTTTGTTATGTGGTAGCCCTGAAGCCCGCGCCTGTTCCAAGTCATTTGTCCCGTCAGCGTGTGCTGCGTGAGCGCATTCCTTGAGGGAGAGTAATTACTGTAGCAGAAGCAGTGTGAAATTCTCCTTGGGGGGCACTTTCCTCTCTTGAGAATGGTTCCGTTCAGAATTATGTTCTCTACTAGGAATCTATTATATGATCTCGTTGTTCCTCCAAAGACATCATTAATCATATGGTGCAAATGTAACTGCAATTGAAAATACAAGGTGTTCCGTCAAACACCATTTTCAATGTGGGTAGTCATCGGAGGAACTCAAAGGTGGATGTAGGGAATCTGTCTTGGACATCGTCTGTTTAAAAATACTGCTGTATATTCACTTGTCACCTTTCTCCTAAAGATTGAGAACTTCTCTGTTGTTTCCCCTCCATCTTGTCTTCCTTCTTTAAAATACTCATGAGGGCGTTTATAATGCTATTCCAGTCACAAGGCAGCTTTGATAGCCTGTTCTATGTCGAGTGTATGTTCAAGCGCCACGTTCTGTGTGCACGCATGTCTTAGAAAGGATTTCCTGGAATGTACAGCGAGCAGTCTCATAGAGGGAGTCAGAACAACTAGGTCCCAAGGCTGGCTTTGAACTGAGCAAATCATCTCTTGCAGGCAGTCTTTTTCCTTACCTCTCCAGGGCAGGGGTGTGATCAGGTGCTCGCAAAACCCATTCAGCTATTATGGTTGGAGAGTGTAAGAATGGCCCTCAATAATGCACTATGTTCTACCTCCAGTGAGCCCATCATTCACTCGACATTTAAAGATGGATTTTCTAGGAATTTAAAGGGATCCGTTTCCAATAGACAGCAAACCTCACAGGATGCGGGGAAGAGAAACCACATCTGTCCCAAAGGCTGCACTTGAAGTCACATGGAGATGATGCCCACCAAAGAGAAAATGAGAAAGGGCTTATAGGGCAGGGAGTAACTTCGAGTCCGCTTCTCAGTTTAGTCTAATCCTGACTGGGGACAGAGATCATCAGCGACTATCAGAAGAACAAAAATGGGGGAGGGAAGCACCCATGCCAAGGGCAAAGGAGACAGGTTTCCAGAATCAGACAGAGACTAGTCCACCATGTGGGAAGGGCATAAGTGGAATTTGCATGTTGGACCCGGGCCACAGAGGAATGACAGTTGGGCAGTCCAATGACAGAGTCCACATCGAACGCATGCTTTATAGGGGTGGCGATTAGTTGGGAAACTCTGTTACCCATGTTGAATTGACCGGAGGTAGCACCCAAGAGATGCTGGTCATGAGAGAGCAGTGAGCTATGAGAAGTGGCTGCAGCTCATTTCCCTCAAGGAGAGTCTAGGTCTCCCTGGAAATGTGGCCACAACAGCAAGATCTATGGGCAACGAATCCTACAGGGAGAGGCCAGCATCCCTACTGGCCTTGTGGGCTCAATGACACTGGGACCCCTTAAGCCCCCCTTAAGGCAGGACTACCCTGTGGGACTTCACAGCTGTAGAATGCACTGCTCTGGTCTCTAACCTGCTTTTCCCTAAGTCAGGAACCTGGACAACAAGCCCCTAAACCTTTTGCCTCAGTTCCCTTTCTATCCCGTGAGAAGGTAGACACGTATTTTCCTGCCTTCAATCATACTGGAGCAAGAAGCCACCTAAATTCTGAATCGCAGGTACCAGGAACAAGGAGATGGAGTAGAGGGGCCAAAGATGAGGCCAAAGATGTGAAGGCAGCTGCTGCTATAGAGACCGGGAGCTAGGGAGGACGGTAGGCACACAGCCATGCCTGCCTGGTTGAGAAATGAGCAAGCGGACACACCAATCGATCATGTCTGTCAGCCCCTCCGGCTGTAGCCATCTCTGACTCATGGGCAGTTCCCTCCTGCTCATTTCCTATTCTTCCCACTCCTAGGCCCCCACGCAGGTTACTATCGGGCAAATGTTCAGCCGCGGCCACCTGGGACAAACAGTTCAGGCCCTGCCTTCTCTTATTGAGAGGCCTTCAGCCTCTGGTTAACTTTGACCATCCCTATGCCCAGTCTGAACATTTAGAGACTAGAGGGTTGACAGGCCATCTATCTGGTTTGGAATGAGTTTTCTTCTTCCTTGGAGGGCACGACTGAACACCTGCTGTATGCCAGGGGTAGTGTGTTGGATTTCAGGCCCAGATGCTTCTCTGCTGTTCAAACGTGTGTGTTTCCGCATTACAAACTGCCTTCTATTGACAGTAGACACACCCCACCCCCACGCCGCCGGCAAACATTGCCAACCCTCACAACTATGCTGTCAGGGTCACACCTGACAGACAGACAGGACACACCCCATGTGGTTCACAGCTTTGCCTAGGCGAGGAGATGACGGACACACGGAGCCAACCATAGCAACCTCACTGTGATCAGCTCCTTTTTCTGTAAAATGTTTCTGCCGGTTGAGAAGGAAAAGGCGATCCCCCAATGTTGACATTTCAACAGGCTCTAACAAATGGACCCAGCCCTGAGCCTGCCCAAGAATGTCTCTCTCTTAACAAAACTGGCTGATGTTCTCGGGAAATGTCAGTATCAGATAACAAAGCTATATAACCATTGACCGTTCTGAAAGGACGGCATCTGTTCCTGGTTGCATAGACTTAAAACCATCCTCAACCCACTCGGGCTGGCAGACACCAAAGGCGCCATCTAGGTAATGTCATCCAGAGGGCCTGTACCAATGGGCCAAAAGAGTCAGAAGGCAAACTGAAGGTAACAGGGGAAACAAAGAAAATAAAAATTAAAGTAAATAGAGGGAATCCCCGTTGACCTTTCTTCTTCAAAATGAAAGTAGGATTGAATCTAGATTTGAGAGTCCTCACATGTTTTCTAGTGGTTCCCCGGGCCACCACGGAGTCTTTGTTCAAAATTCCTCACAGATGGTTGGAAGGATGATTTGGAAACAAGAGTTTAGGTCCATGTCTCATATCCTCTCTTCTTCCAATCAGCGCCCCCGCCCCCTCGGGAAGATTCCTGGACAAGTGACGGTTACACGGAGCAGAGGGAGATGAGGAACGAGTCCCACGGGAGGAATTAGGTCAGGCTCAAAATGAAGCCATCAACCCAAGAGCACGTTCATGCTACACATCGCGGGGCTCCAGATATGGGACGGGAGGCAGCCGAGCTGCTCAGGGAACTCATAATAACGGTTCGTGGCCCGTCCCCTCGAACCTGTGGCGGAACTCCGGGGGTGTCTGCCCAGAGCAGCCTGAGCTCGAAAGACAGCCCACTGGGCATGCACACACACCACAGAGCATGCAGGTTGACTCTGGTCAACCTTCCCAACTAGGGGTCGTTTGTATGAATCATCACAGAATTTGGGCACCACCTTGGGATCCTTCTAATCCAACCTCTTCATTTTACAGCTGAGGAAAATGGAGTCAATGAGATAAATACCGTCAGTAGTGACAACCGAGTGGGAATCTGGACCGATCACCTTTCCAGCCCCAAGATTTTCTCCCAACAACCATCGCTTCCTTCGCAGGCCCCCAAAGGAACAAAGCATCATGCGAGCCCCAAGTGCCTACCTTTCTTCCGCCACCAGGGTCCCTCCGGCACAGAGTAGGAGAGGTCCTTGAATTCAATATTCACCGCCGCCCGCCGGGGCAAGGAGGAGAAGCGCTGGGCCTCTGTGAGGTTGTTGTCCACTTTTTTCAGGTGTCCGTTCAGCAGCTCCGTCTCGGCGGCATCCATGCTGCCCGAGACCACCTCATCCACGGAGACGCACACGGACTTGGGCTCCGTCATCGCTGCAGAATAACTGCTGGCGTTCTAGACAAATGGGGAGCACAGAGCACAAGGTCGGTGAGCAGCTGCATCCTGGGAGGAGCACCCGGACCCAGGGTCACGGACTATTCACGGCCGCACTCCTATCACTGCGCCTCAGGGGGCCTTTGGCACAGGCCGAACGGTGCTTGCTGGGAAGACTCTGTCCTCTCTACCCATCTTTTTCTCTCCTGTTTAAAATAGGCTTCAGGTAAAGAATGTGATGCTGATCCACAAATCTGACTGGGGAAGCATCACATCTAATCACATAACCGTAGCAAGGGAATTCTTTGCCTCGAAGTAGGCAAAAACACCATTAAACATAATGACTCACAGCCCCGAGTGGCTGAAATAGATCAGCATTGTACTACCACTCGAAGGCTTGGAGGTTCAAATGCACACAGAGGGGCCTAAGAAAGGCCCGGAGATCGACTTCCAAAAATCAAGTCCTCGGAAACTAACCCCTTGGAGCACGGTTCTACATGGTTCTACACGCACACGTTGCCCAGCGTCCAAGTTCACCCAACAGCAACTGGTGGCAGCAGCCTCACAAACTACTCAGTGTGGCGGCAAGAGAGTAGTGCCAAAAAAAAAGATGTATCACTGAAAAAAAAAATCCTATTTAAAAAGGGCTATTTAAATGCTTCCCTCCATGATCTCATCAAAATTCTCAAGAGAAATAACACCATTGTGCTCGTGGGTTTTGTGAGGGTTCCTCATTGCGTTTTAAAATTTTCCAAATCCCTTATAACGCCACGCTTGGTAACAACAGAACTGAGATGCTGCCGGAGGTGTTGGTTTTGTTGTTGTTTTCGCTTTGCCATATGGACAAGGACATTGGGGGCACACACAGTGTAAGGAACTTGTCCCAAGTCCCACAATCAAATAAAAGGGCAGAGGTGGGCCCAGAGTCATCAGAAAACGTGAGATGTTCCTGCGCGTACCTGCTGTTGTGTAGCTCGCTGGCTTTTAAAGCATCCAGTGAGAGTCAACTCAACTCTAACAGATGTGCCGAGAACCAAGCGTTTTCATGCAAAGAAAGGGATATCCTCCTCTAATGGCTTGGCACTTTGAAGCAATCAATATGCCCCAAGTAGCTCCAAAGCACTGAAGAACCTGGGGGTGGGCAAAGATGACGTGGCGTTTTTTCCTAGCTGCCTCCTTAACCAAAAGCAGTGCTTTCGTTTGGAAAGCAGGGCCTCCTGCCACACTCTGCCGTCCTGGGCGAGGTTTCAGCAGAGAGCCCATGCACAGCCATCGTGGATAACTCAGGCTGTTCCGATGGCTGTGGGCACTGAACCCTGGTGCTGCTGTGGGCTAAGCACTGGGCTGCTACCCACAAGGTTGGCAGTTCAAACCCACCAGCCACCCCAAGGGAGAAAGATGTGGCGTCTGCTCGAAGAGAGAGTTACGGTCCGTAAACGCTAAGGAAGAGTTTTGCTGGATCTTTACAGGGTTCCAGGGACTCAGAGTCAGTCTGATGACTGTGGGTAGCGTGGGGACGGAGAGACCCTGCCATGTGGTTGTTTGTCCAAAAGAGGAACTGCGAGGTCCCGGGCTTTCCCACGGGTTTGTGGACTCTCCTCAGAGTCGCTAGCTTCAGCCTTACTGTGCCTCATCCAAAGCCAAAACAAATCCAAAGCATGAATGATCCACAAGACAAACCCACAGACCCCAGCAACTTGAGGGTTCGAAAACAGCGTCCCCCTAGAGAATGCCTTCTCATGGGCACACAACCGCATCGCTGAATGAGGGCTCCCAAACCCATCTCTAGACTTGGAGGGCTCAAATACTCAAAGCACAGGTGGACACGTAGAGGTTGATGATTCTTGTGAGGGCTGATAATGTGCTGTGTCCTTTTAGGAAAAAGGCATGGGAATGCACACGCACATGCAGACGCACGGAAAACCCACGCGCGCACATATACACGGGCACACACACTTCCATCCCTCGTAGGCCTCTCCCACTTCCGAAAACCTGAACCAAGTGAAACTGAGCTCATGGACCATAACATTCTGTGGATAAAAATAAAGGTGCAGAGTACAACGCTGACAAAATCAGGCTTGGCTGGCTGCTGGCACTAAGAATGTGAAATGCTTCAGACCCAAACATAAGTGGGCTCATAAATTCCAAGTTAGCAGAATTTGGTATTTGTTTAACAACAGGGCTCCGTGTAGCCTTGCGGTGGTCATGCGGCTCAGGGCTGGAAAGAGAGCGATGGCCTTTGGTGCTGGGGCATCCTAGAGGACCAATAGAAAGACTGCCCTTGCTCAGCATGCCTTTGGCTCTAGTAACAGGCCAGAAGGTGGGGCGCCAGCTTTGGCATCCCCAGACAGGGCAACAAAAGCCACCCCTTCATCTATTCACCCTATCACAAGCTACGGTCACAGGTCTGTAGCCCTCTTTGTCACTAAAGGGATCCTCCAAAAAACGTCCTGCTGTTGAATCCATTCTGGCTCATCGTGACCTGGCAGGGCAGAGCAGAACTGCCCCTGTGGGTTTCCAAGCCTAGCAGTCTTTACAGGAGCAGAAAGCCTCATCTCTCTCCTGCAGGGTGGTTGGTGGTTTGGAACTGCTGACCTTGCAATTAGTAGTTCAACTCGTAAGTGCCAAATCCAGGCTTTGGAGAGTAAGGACAGGCAGGTGGGAGCAGGGAAACAACATTGTTAGCGCCAGGCTACACAAACAGAAAGATAAAAGGTGCTGGTTGCAAACCCACGTTCTGCTGGTCGACCAGGGCCCTAACTCCGGAGCTCACCAGCAGCTGTGTGTTCAGCTGTGGAGATAGGAGATGGGGGCATGCTGATCCAGCAAGCTCCTCTCTAGTCCCAGGCCCCCCTCAACCTCCAACCCCAGCATTGCAGCTGCCCCCAGGTCCCCCTCAACCTCCAACCCCAGCATTGCAGCTGCCACGGTATCCATCCTCCCCCCTCACACCAGGCACCTCCCTCCGTATGGTCACTTCTCTCTGTACTGAAGAAACTCCCAATTATACGAGGATGATAACATCACTCCATTCACCTACCAGTCTGACATATATTCTGATGAGGGTCTGACTTTCCCCACTAGATTCTAAGTCGCCGCTATCTACTCACTCATGCCAGTCAACCAATTCACCACAAACTTAGTCCTGACGCTCAGTGGTCCAAGGGACAGACCCGGGCTCTGGCCTGAGCAGGTTCAAGCGTCCCACGTAAGTAACAGGTGATTATAATCTGGAGCTTCCAGGGTGCTGGTAAGAGGAGGCAGGGACCCAGAAGGGCAGCTAAGGGCAGGGCAGACCCTGGGCTAGGGAACTGCGGGGCAAAGTCTTCTTCTGAGCTGAGAGTCACAAAGTGAGGTGGATGGAAGTTCCTTACATGGGAGGGTACAGCATGTGCAAAGGCTCAGAAGCTACTGAGAAAGGACTTTTAGAATTCTAAAGCAATCTCAAGAGCTGGAGCATTGATTTAGATTTAAGGTGATGAGGAAGGAGTGTGGGAGAAGAGGGGGCTTGTTCATGGGTTTGGGCTTTATCTAGAGCTCTCTGGGATGCTACTATAAATAATAACTCACTGCCATTAAATCAATACTGACTCATAGCGACCCTATAGGAAACAGCCCCGAGAATTTCAAAACTGTACATCTTTACAGGCTTTAAAGAAAGCCTCATTTTTCTCCCTTGGAACAGCTGGTGGGTTCGGACGGCTGACTTTGCAGTTAGCAGGCCACTAGTCAAAGAACCAGACCTGCAGTTGAGAATAGTACCTCTGTCTCCATGGAGACCAAGGGCAAGGGGAGCACAGGGGGTGGGGCGGACCGAAGGCTGCTTCCATCGAGGGGTGATGGTGGAACAGGGATGGAGACAAGTGATGGGCCAGTAGGTCAAAACCGGGTGACTACACGGATCTGGAAGTGGGAGAGTGAGAGAGAACCCACAGTCAAGTACTACCATTTAAAGTATTAACTAATAGCACCTCGTGCATAGTAGATCAATGATGATAAACAACAGCTACTATTGATTCAGCAATTACAATGTGCCCATTAAACTCCACATGGTATAAATTACGCCTCCAGTTCTGCCCCTCCGCTCCAGAAGGTGGATATTTCCACCTCCGTTTCAGAGGAGGCGTCAAAAGGCTGGAGAAACTGCTGTGCTGTGAGCCAGTAGTCTGTCAGTAGTCATGTTCCCTAGCTCCCTGGGGTGCAGCTCTATAAGGCTTCCAACTTCCTCCACCCCTCCTCCTGAACAGCAGAGAGCTTCTCACCTGGCCTGTGGTCTGCACTGCACGTTGCTTGGCTTTCCATAGACAAACTCTAAGTGACCCTGGGTCAGCTCGTACGGCATGACGTATAAGGAACTCCACAGCCAACAGGAAATCCTACATCTCCGCCTTCAAATAAAACAGCCCCAAAGGGCTGTACACGAGTACCCACCTTTGCATACGCTGTTCCCTCACATGAGGGGAACCACTGCCCATCTCACCTATGGGTGCCAGACAGGTTTGTCCAATGAATGAACCCCTGAGAGCTGGGATGATGTGAGGCAGAGGCCCCTCCCTCTGAAATGGACCCCCTCTTTGGAAGAACACCGGCAGATGGGAGCTGGCAACAATGTGGGTGACAGCGAGCTTTGCCTTCTCCTAGCAAGCTCATTAAAAATAAAGCCAGTACCTTTCCCCTTATTTTGGTCCCTTTCTGAGTTTCCTTTCACGTTGTCTTGGACCTTCCCCCTCCCCAACCAGTTTGGGGGGCAACTGGGTGGCAACAGCGCGCTGTAAATAATAGTAAGTCCATTCGGATGTTGAATGCAAAGGGGCCTCGTTGGGGTTTCCCTGGCTGCTGATCAGGAGAATGTTTGCATGGGCACTGAGCAGAGTGACCCAGGATTTCCCTTTGAATGGCAGTGGGCAGCGGGTGTCTCTCACTGGTCGGTGAGTCATTGTACGATGCTTTTGCTCTATGATGTCCCAGGAAGCAGAAGTGGAGACATAAGCTCCCCCCTCTGCATCCTGGGGAAAAGAGGAAAAAGGAAATCAGTCAGTGGCATAGTTCTCTCTCGCCTCTTTCTGGTTCATCGTTGTCAGCTTTGGTGTCCACTTAGTGGGCTTTGCTGCTGGGGGTCATGCAGTCCTGGGTCCATAGCGTCGGATCCGGTATCCCCAAGATAAAGGCCCACAGGGAAATCAGCACAGCATCAACTAGCCCCCAAGGTCAGCAGGTTAGACCACCAGTGACTCCAGAGAAAAACGAGGCTGTCTGCTCCAGTCAAGATTCACAGCCTCCGAAGTCCACAGGGCAGTTCTACTCTGCCCTTTAGGGTCACTATGAGTCGGGACCGGCTCCACTGCAGTGCGCTTGGTTGTTTAGATTTAAGAACCCTCTTTAGGCCACTCAACAACACCTTGTTGGGCAGCCTGTGCCCAGCCCTCTGGGGCCACAGCTCCCTTGGGACTCCACTGCCTCCTCTAGATACCTCTCTCCTTCTCCCAGTCTGCTCCAGACACACACCACACCTCATGGCTGGTCCTGAATGGGGGGAAAGGGGGGACCCAAGGCTAAAACCCAAGTTCAGGATCCTGCATATCTTGCAAAAGCAGTTTGTTTACAATTTGTAGAGACTTTTTTTAATTTAAAAAAGTACAAGTTTACCAGAGAGGTTTATGATTTTCAAACAAAAGCTCGTTCCCTGAAATGAAAATATGAGCCCAGTCCTAAGCGTCTCCAGACAAAGCCAAACCCTTAGGTTCAGGGCTGCTGCAAAAACTGAGCATAGCTTGTCCTACAAGGGCGATCTACATTTGAAAACACCGGGATTCCATTGTTTTTCCCTGTGTAGGAAGGAACCTCCTTAGCATCCCTTTAAAGGGCTTTAAGAGTCAGTGACTGGGGGGGACTAAAAGATCTGAAACTTTCCCTGCCTTCAAAGAGCACCAACAATCTCGTTACTTTTCCATTATCCACATCATTGAGGAATTCCAAAGAGATGAACAAGCGCAAAAAGGAAAATGTCTCAGGCAACGTTATCCAAACATACAACCAGACGGAAGCTAATGTAAGCGGGAGAAAATTGGGTCTTTTCAGTTTTTTGCATCCCCCCTTCTTAAATGCGGCAGTCTACTTCCATAAAGATCTCCTTAGAAACCCTATGGAGGCAACGCTACTCCGTCTTACCGAGTGCCTATGAGAAGGCACAGACTGGCCGGCAACGGGCTTATCTGCGTAAATCAAGCAATAGAGTACATCTGGGGATGGATGCGGCTGGCGAGCTCCCCTGGACTCCCCCTTCTCTACCAACTGACTTAAGCTTTCTGCTGGCCCCATTCTATCGGTTTACACAAAATCATTATATAATGAGCTGGCGAGGTTCGGTATGGTCTACAGTAACCTGTTTGGAATCATAGGATGCAGTTGTCAGAGTGACGCATGCGCAGAAACCAGGCTACTTTTTTTTCCTCTCCGAGCTCAAGGCAAGAGGTAACTGTCGGTCAAATCCTGCTGAGCACAGCTGACTTCAAATACAGGATGCTAAAAATGAAATAAAGGGGTGGGGGTGGCGCGGTGAAAGCCCTGCGTGCGATACACTGTGGGCTTACACCCCGTGGGGCAGCAACAAGCACGATAGTAAGTACGAAGAGCTAGAAGACGGGTGGATAGATAATACCAAACACTTCTGAGTATAATCTAAATCTCGTCCGCAAGTAACTAACTGCAACGGTGATGTGTTAGGCATAGAAATAAGAGGCCCTCGGTGGGGTGCGGTAAGTGCGAGGTTGGCAGTAAACATCATTCGCTTTGTTTTCTATTTTCCTAATGTAAGTTTACCGAGGTGTGCACAAACGCGCAAAAGGCGTCTCTGGCCATAGCTTGGAAAAGCGTTTGTTGTCATTGTGTCTAGCCATGAAATCACCGGCACCCCGTCTTCCCCTCAGAACTGAGGTGTGCGCCTCGGTTCCCTCCCTGTCTCTCCGTGGCGGTGCAGAAGGGCGGCCAGCAGGCATCCCCCTCGCCCTCCGCCTGCCTCCCCAGGCACTCACAGTCCTGCCCCCATTAGGTCCGGGAGAAGCTGCCTCTGCCCCCCCAAAGCGCAGAGGGCGCGCAGCTTCCAGTTCTCTCTTTTGTTCCAAACCCGGCGCTCCGGGGGGTGGCGCGAAGGAGCCCCTGTTCCCCAAAGCCTGGTCGCGCCCGCCGAATCTCCCCGTCCCTCTGGCCCAGGTTGCAGCCACTCCCCGCACGCTCCACGGTCCCCAGGCCGCATGCCCCTCTCCTGGACAGGGACGAGGTCAAGGCCATCTGTCCACTCGTGGGGCTGTTTGGCTACCTCACCCCCCTCGCGTCCGCGGCCGGTCCAGTAGCATCCTGCAGGCCAGGTTGCCAGGGCAGGAGACACCGAGTCGGGCCTCTCCGGCAACACCTAGGTCAGCGCCCGGGAGCGGTGGAGCGAGCGCCTAATGGGTCGGGGCGAGGAGGGTCTTTGCTTTCCTCGGACAAGAAAGCCCTCAGGTGAAGGATGCGCGCACTCACCATGGCGGTGCCGACAGAGAAAGCGGCCATCAGACAGGCCATGCCCCGGTGGGGGGCGGCGGCGGCGGGGACGGGGCTGCGGGCGGCGAGGACGAGGCGGCGGGGACGAGGATGCGCTCGCTCCGGGCTGGGCTGCCTTGCCCGCATCCACTCGGGCTCGGGCTCCAGCTCCGCCCCGCGCCTGCGATTGGCCGGCGCTGAGGGGGCGGGGCCGCGGGCAGGTGCGCGTGCTCTTGTTGTCCTGCGCCGCGACAGGCCGCTTCCCGGAACCGTCTGAGGCTCTGCCTCCTCCCAGCGGCTCATCGCCCTAAAACCCACAATTTGGAAACTTTCGGGAGCTCCCAGGACAAGTCCACTGGAAACCTGGACAATCGCGAGGACCCCAAGGCTCAGGACCACCACCTTCAGCACCAGCCTATTGCTGTGCTCTTTGTACCTGCATTAGCAATGAGCCTCAAGGGCAGGGGCTATGCTGATAAGGTCAGGGAGGAATCCTGGCGGGATGGGGGTGGTGGTGAAGAGCAGAAAGGGTGAAGGACGTTTTTTTAAATCTTTCTTTCTCGTGTAGTTGCTGGACATCTTTCTGCCAGTTGGCAGTTTGAGACATTGCTGTGAGAACTGAAGTCTTAGAGAATGGAGAACTCACTGCCGAGGAACGAGGGATTCCGACTCACAGCGACCCTATAGGTCAGAGTAAAACGGGATGTCAGAGGCTGTTGATCCTTCCAGAAGCAGCAAGCCTTATCTTTTCCTCTGAGCAGGTGGTGGTTTCGAACTGCTGACTTGGAGATTGGCAGCTGAAGCAGGGTGTTGGCAGGTCGCTAAGGGACTTTTTGTAGTACAGCGTTCTGTGTCCACCCACGTGCACGTGGTAAGTGCTGAAAGGTAAAGGTGGCCACGCCCCTGCCGTCCATCCCACCTGCCAACAAAGAAAAGGCCCATTTGGGGCAGACTGCAGTGCTTCCATTACCCAGCGCATACCTGTGTTCATGGTACCTGCATTTAGGAGGGAAACTCAAGGACCCTCTATTATGGCCCTGGGCTGGAATAGCAGATGGCCTGACATCTGCTAAAGCCCATATTATACCTAAGATGGGCTCTTTCTTGGTAACCATAATGATAGGCATTCTGGACTCCCAATCTCAGACTGGGCAGCTGGTGTTCAGAGGTTTGGAACTACAGCCATGAATGTGTTCCTTCCAACCATCACCACCCTTGGCCAGTGTTGCCACCACATCTCTGATGAAGGCAGCCCCTCTCCTGCTCTTCCGCCTACTAGGCTGTTTTATACTGGGCAAGCACACTTCACCTTCACACACCTGAAGGCCAAAGTCATATTCTTCCTCTCAACTCAAAGAAGAAAATAAGGTGTGATTTCATGTTAAGTTCAAACTTGGGTTAAGCTTAAGCTCATTTGGAGTTTTAACTTATATTAAGTTGAAGCTCTCCCTGTACTTTCTGAACAGTCTCACTTGGGGTGTCTATCTATTGGCATAGTGATTACACATTGGACCGCAAAGTCCAAGGTCAGCAGTTCAAAACCACCAGCCACTCCACAGGAGAAAGAAGAGGCTTTGTACGCCAGTGAAGAGTTACAATCTCAGAAACCCCTAGGAGCAGTTCTACTCTGACTGAGTAATGAGGTAGTTTTACTTGACTGACTTGCATTTAAAGATTGACCTATTTCTTTCTGGTGTGGTAGATGTGGAGGGTCTGAGGATTGCATGAGCTGGAAAGTGATGGAGAGGGAGCATCCTGAGGATTTGGGGTCAGGTAGGAGGATTCAGCCAATGGTACCAGGTGAGGGTGGACACAAGTAAATCATGCATGCAGATGGACTTGAAGTATGGCTATACCATGACCAGATGAGTTTCAGGAATGAGCCAGTTGCCAGCAGGTGAGGCTGCCTTAAGACCTTGGATTGCCTCCATCCCTGGAGGGCCCCCCCAAAACGGTTTCTGAATCCCTAAGAGAAACCTTTGGGAATACACCTTATGGCTTTCCAGCTTGCTCCACCAGTTAAGAATTCTAATGAATATTTATTTTGTGAATATCATCTCCACATCTTGTCGGCTCGGTGTTTAACAATTTGACCTGAAGTCCTCTATAATGGCATGGTGGCCAGTTATGAACTAGCCTCAGTGAACTCCACTTGGCCAACTTTCTTTTGCTCAATTCCTGATCGATACCATCCAGTACCTCATTTCAGTCGACCTAAGATTTTAGCCACTCACAAGGATCCAGGACAATAAACCCCTCAGGACCAAGAATGGGAGTAGTGGTACCAGGAGGGGCAGGGGAAGGTGGGATAGAAAGGTGGAACTGATGACAAGGATCTACATATAACTCCCTCCCTGGGGAGCATACAACAGAAAAGTCGGTGAAGGGAGATGTCAGACAGTGTAAGACATGACAAATAATAATAATTTATAAATTATTAAGGGTTCATGAGGGAGGGGCCGGGGAGGGAGGCGAAACAATGAGCTGATACCAAGGGCTCAAGTAAAAAGCAAATGTTTTAAGAATGATAAGGGCAACAAATGTACAAATGTGCTTGATGCAATGGATGGATAGATGTACGAGCCCCCAGTAAAATGATTTTTTTTTTTAATTTTAGCCACTCACTCGGCAGATGCCGAGAAATGGACTATTCGGTGGTGGAAGGTCTTCTCAGCGTTGGGAATGCAAGGGTAGTTAGCCAACCAAGAAGCCCTGACCTCAAGTGTAGTCTAGTTTGAGAGCTGAAAATACACACATCAACAGGCATGGTTTCAGCTGGGAGAAAAAAGGAACACCATATGAGGTGGGTGGAGAGGGATGGGGTGAGATTTGAAAGGTAACATCCTGACAGAGATCGGATGTCTTGTTCCATAGCCTGACATATATTAGAGATGGCTTTTTATATAGCTAACTGGAGAAAAACAAGACAGAGCAATGAGTCCATGTTGACCCATGTGTCGCAGAGCAGAACTGCCCGTGGGATTTCCAAGGTTTTGACCTTTCTTAAGCAGATTGCCAGACTTTTCTTCCAAGTACCCAACGTTTCAGTTTGTCCAGCTCTTTACCCTTGGCCCCACAGAGGCACTGATAGCTGCCATCACCTCAATTCCATCTCAAGGTGACCTTTTGTGTCACAAAACAAAGTATCTCCCCATCCTGCGTCAGTCCATCGTTGCCCCCGCGGTGTCGATGCATCTGACAAGGGTCTCCCACACCCCCACTCACCTTCTGTTTCACCGTGCATGACACCTTCCTCAACATGCTGATGTGTCCGAGACAAGCGAGTCAAATGATGTTCTGCTGCAACCCAGAGGCTGTCACTGACTAGTTGTCGGAACTAAATCTCCAGGCCTTTCTTCCTAGTCTGCATTAGTCTGGATGCTTGAGCGAAACCTGTGCCCCATGGGTGACCCTGCTGGTATGTGACACATCAACGACATAACTTCCAGTATCACAGCAACACAGAAGTCACAACTCCTTCCCTTCCCGGCCATACCCCTAGGCAATGATTAATCCAGTTAGTGTGTCTATAGATCTACCTGTCCTGGATTTCATATAAAGAAAATCATGCAAAACACCAGCGGGAAGCAAACACACACACACACACACACACACACACACACACACACACACACACACACACACACAGTAGGCCATGGGGTAGTCTTTCCTCTAGAGAGCTTCCCTTCCTGAGCTCCAGGAATCCCAATCCCCTACCAGCACCCGCTAGAACATCCCACCTTCTGGCTCCTGTCAGTGGTTCTGGAGAAGACTTGTACCCAATGTTGCCCTAAGAGTTCTCTCTGGAGCCTGCCTGGAGCCTGGGAGAGAAGCGTTCCTTTCGCTTTGGGGATTGACAAGCCATGCCATGAGTGTTTTCTTGTCATTGGGACAGAGCCCTCTCAGTGCCCGGGCACCGACCTCCAGCCTTATTGAGTTTAAATGTGTCGCAGGCTCTTGCCAGGAGTCTGGGCAGCACAGTGATATCCGCATGGTCGATGGGGCCTAGCCTCATCACTGTCCCTGCCCAGCTTGAGGTCCGTGAACATTACACCCTGGGCTATAAAGCAGGGTGGCAATTGCACCCCTCATAGGATTGTTCTTCGGATCAAGTGGGTTCGTATCTGAGAGTACTTAGAACAGAGTCCCCGAAGAAGGACACGGTGCTTGGTAAAGTAGAGGGACATATAAGGAGAGGGAGGCCCTCAGCAGTACGGCTGGACACAGTGGCTGCAACAATGGGCTCAAGCATGGGAACAATTGTGCAAATGGCGCGGGACCAGGCACTGTTTTGTTTGGTGGGGCATAAGGTCATTATGGGTCAGAACCAAGTCACACAAACAACTGAACAGAGTCCAGCACATAGGATGCGTTTTATAAGGGTTTGCCATGACTGTTACTATTACTCTGTTGGCACGTAGACTACAAGAAGGAGGGCCTGACAGTCTGCTTCCAAAGAGCACAACAAAGAAAGCTCCACGGGCACAGTTCTTCTCTGAAACACAAGGAGCCCCGAGAAACGGGAATCAACTCAACCGACCGCAATGGGCTCGGTTTGGAGTTACATGATCCAGTACTCTGGTCTTGAGCTAGCATGCATTAGATCACATTCAATTCCAATGTCAAAGGTCCAACCTAGGACAAACAGTCTGGCTAAAATTTTGAAAGTCAGGGTCATAAACCCAGCTGACCAAAAAAAAAGGCCTTAACCCATCAACCCTGTGACACTTCATCTTCTGCCTCCCAACTCAAACCTGCCCTATCTCCCCAAAGAGGCAATGAGCCCCAGCGATTCTCTCCATCTCTGTCTCCAGCACAGCAGGAGCACCATTCCACCCAGAGGAGGTGCTCAACAAAAACCAGTAGTTATATTTGAACCATCCCCAAAGGGTTGGAAAGCGCTGCCATGACCGTTGTTACATTCGACTCTGAGAACACTCCTGCAGGCCAGAAGGGAAGGGACCATGACCGGAGCATGAACATGACTCCCCAGCACCACGTACCCGGCAGGCTGCATGGCTTGGTATTTCTCTCCGTCAGGTAGTGCCTCTCTAGTGCAGTGAAGGCGTCCTTGGGTGATGCAAATGATTAACACA